GTAATGGTCACTCACTATTATTTTTCAGAATATAATCTTAATTATTTTTTATCTACAAAATTAAATCTCTTACTAATAAAACAAATTGATGGCATTTGAACAATTACATTTAAATGTAATGATTTATCTCTGAATAAATTTTTAATTAAGTACTAATATATGTTAATATATATATAACAAAATTTAATTTAAATATGTTCAGATATTTAATAAGGAGTATGACTATACAAGTTAAAGAAATGAGAAAATAACAATTTAGGAATACAAAATATATTAATGCATGCTTGAAAAACTAATCAAAAGTATTTACTTCTGTTACAAAGATTTTAATCTAAAATGTCTTATTAAGCATTCCTAATATTTTTTGATGCCATTTGCACTGTATGTGTTTAACATCAGTTATTTAAAATTATAACTTTCATAATAGGTTATCCTATATAAACAGAAAAGTATAATGTATTTTTTAAAGCCTTACTTATAGTAATAAGTAAGGCTTTAAACAGACTAGATATTTTAATTAGTTTGAAAAAACAGATATGAATAAACTCATTTGGCCTTAAAAATAAAAATATTATTATAAAAAAAATCAATGATATAATTACTGCTGTTTTAAAAATGATAAGTTTTAAATTTACTCAAAAATTAATGAAAATTAAATTATATAACAACTATAAAACCAAAATTTAATATCTTACTTTGAACACTATTTTAACTTATTCCTTATAGTTTCTATGTTATATAATATAATTCTTCAAATACTTCAAAATACTTTTCAAAGCTTAAGTAACAAATACTTTTCAAAGCTTAAGTAACAAATACTTTTGCACATCACTAATATTTAAATTAAGTTCACCTAGCTTCTGAGTAAAATTAAAAAAGCTTTATTCTCATGACATTCAATAAGGATGTTCCAGAATAAAATCAAAGCATAATTTGCAAGATTTCAGTTTAATATTAATGTAGAAAACTTCAAATATTTGCCAGAACATTGCTTTAAAACTGTAGTAACAAAAGCAAGGATCATTTTTATAGTAAAAATGTTTAATGAGCAAAATTTAAATTTAAAAAACAATCCTTTGTTGTTAGTTTAAGATAATACATATTTTTGTTTTATTAAAAAAGTAAACCCAATTGTCTTTCTCTTTTATAAAAATATTGAATGATGATTTTTTTTATTAATAAATTATATTTCCCATGCAAATGATTATGTATTAATTAGTATAATTAAAGGGTAAAATATATTTAACAACATAATCACTAATATTATTAAAGAATTTACATGGATTCTTTTAATTACTTAATTCAGCATGCATTCAAATCAAAGGAAAAACAGGTTAGATGAATTAATAGCTGGTGATACTATTGAAAAAAAAAAAAAAAAATGATGGAAGAGCTGACAAGCAACAATTACTTTTATTACATGAAGTTAAATCAAAATTTTTGTTAGTTATATAAACAGTTATTAATCTGAACTTGCAGATTTGATTTAAGAAAATTACTCAACTATTCTTTGAAACTATTAATTAATAATAAATTAAAATTTTTAGTTAAACAAAATTTAATGATTTATTACTAATTATAAGTTTGTCTATGATTCAAAATGAAATATTAACTTCAAATTATAAAAATAATTAGTACGTTGATTAATATTCAATATTCATAGTTTCTGTAATATAACATTAAATGCTAATACATATCTACAGAAGACAACATTGAATCAGTTAAGATTTTATACTTTTTAAATGCATTAAACTTAATTTCAATATGGGAAACTTTAAAATAATCAATTATTATTTATCAAGAATCAGCAGAAAATAATGCTTTAAATTTATAAAAAAGGGAGGAAATTAATATCCAGCATTTTGAAAATAGCAGAAATACTTGACATTCAGTAAAAAATTCCTCAAATCTATCCATAATATACTTGAAAATATCCAAAAATAATCTATAACATCCCTCTTTGCATTCCACATGTGGAGTTCAGCACTCCATTTATAATATGAATACTGTATTCTTCCTATAGCATTTCAAAAATTCAAAAATTTTAATACTTTCTTTAAGTATGAAAAATAAAGTCACTACAATTTTAGCAAATGTATCAAAGTTTCTATAAATCAAAAATTTTTTGAATGCTATGAATACGTTTTAATTTTTTAAAATTTCTATCATATTTAATCTAAAAATGTTTAAAGTTAAAATACTTAAGTATTAGACTATAAATCAGCTAAATTATAATTCAATATTAATTAAAGACAATTTTTTATAGGAAAATAACTAAATCAAATCATTCATAATCATAACAAGATTAAATTTTTTAGTAAACTTAATCTTTTTACATTCAAATTCAATAATATTTCCTATTAACTTTTTCAAAATAACCATCTTCCTTTCTTTATCATAATTTCTTAAGAAGCAACTCTTTAATTACTGTTTATTGTAAAATTTTAAAATATTTATTGGTATACTCAATTTAATCAAACTAAATTCCTACATAATTTACTATATTTATGTTATTCTAATATTAAATATATATTACAGTAATTAAAACAATAGCTTTCTTAATTATTTTTTCTTATTCAATAGGCTTGAATTAAATATCTACATAAATACATTTTTTAAATATTGTAAAGCAATTTACTTTGTTTTAATCATATGATCGAATTTTTTAATTTTGAATTTAACTGTTTGAATTTTTATGTTAAAAAAACATACTATAATTAATTTGTGTTGGCTTTTATCCAACAAAATCCCAATTTTCTAGCTATTAAAATAAATATGATCTGGATGCTTATATAAACAAACATAAATTTTCAATACAGGATAAGACATTAATTTTTAAATATATGTAAAGAAAAGTCACCTTATAAATGAATTTTAAATATATTTTGTAAATATTTAATACAAAAATAATTCAACCGACCAAAAAGTAAATTTCTGAAAATTTGCAAATATATAATGTTATAAAAATTAACTCCAACATCAAATAAAGTATGGTAATTTAATTATACATGTATATAATTAGTTATTTTAACATTAAATTTACTTGAAATATAAAATTTATGTTATTTAATAACCCCAAAATGACTTATAGTTTATTTATTTAATATCGTCATCAAGAAATCATTAGATTTCAGCTTTATGGAAACTTTACTAATAATCGACAGGGAAGTCTCAATGAAAACAGTCATTCATTGACTGAAATGAAGGCTTTTTCCATCCAACAACCTATCATTTAGGATACTGAATCATAGCATTGGATCAGCAAAGAATAAAATGATAGATTTGCTATAGGCTCAAACATAATTACAATGATTAACTAATAGATTTATTAAACTGTAAAAAGAGATGATTTTTGTCAAATCTAAGCAATATATTCTATCGAATAAATAAAACTATCAAGTATATTGTTTAAAATAATTGAAAATCCATTTATCTCAAACATTAATGAAAATAAATATTTTGGCAGAAGTTACTTTTAGGTACTTTATTTGTACATAAATATAAGAAAATTACCTAAAAGTAACTTCACTCCAGTATTTTTTGTACATAATAATTTGTTTTAATCATCAACCTATATTAAATGTGTATACTGTTACATAGTGTATAATTTGATTTATTTTTTATATTGAATTAAACCAGAATATAAATCTCAGAAATGAAAACATATAATTAAGGGGGTTTTTTCTTTATTTGCTAAAAGTCAGGAGAATATATAATTAGTTAAAATGGAGTAAGCAAAGACTCTCATATAAAATGACATCTTAACAACTAATGAAAACATTTAATAACCCGAAGACATCATAAAAGAGCTGAAATGAATTACAAACTGACAGTTATTAATCTGAACTTGCAGATTTGATTTAAGAAAATTACTCAACTATTCTTTGAAACTATTAATTAATAATAAATTAAAATTTTTAGTTAAACAAAATTTAATGATTTATTACTAATTATAAGTTTGTCTATGATTCAAAATGAAATATTAACTTCAAATTATAAAAATAATTAGTACGTTGATTAATATTCAATATTCATAGTTTCTGTAATATAACATTAAATGCTAATACATATCTACAGAAGACAACATTGAATCAGTTAAGATTTTATACTTTTTAAATGCATTAAACTTAATTTCAATATGGGAAATTTTAAAATAATCAATTATTATTTATCAAGAATCAGCAGAAAATAATGCTTTAAATTTATAAAAAAGGGAGGAAATTAATATCCAGCATTTTGAAAATAGCAGAAATACTTGACATTCAGTAAAAAATTCCTCAAATCTATCCATAATATACTTGAAAATATCCAAAAATAATCTATAACATCCCTCTTTGCATTCCACATGTGGAGTTCAGCACTCCATTTATAATATGAATACTGTATTCTTCCTATAGCATTTCAAAAATTCAAAAATTTTAATACTTTCTTTAAGTATGAAAAATAAAGTCACTACAATTTTAGCAAATGTATCAAAGTTTCTATAAATCAAAAATTTTTTGAATGCTATGAATACGTTTTAATTTTTTAAAATTTCTATCATATTTAATCTAAAAATGTTTAAAGTTAAAATACTTAAGTATTAGACTATAAACTATCTTTCCAAGAACACTCTTANTTATAATGATTATCAATTTTTAAAAATTTTCCCGTCAGGCATTTCGAAAAGGAAATGCGATATGTGAACTTGACCTTATTCATTCGAGTAGCCAAGCACAAATGGCAGGTTATTAATCATTCTTCACTATAGTCTGCCTTGATATCGGAGCTGCAGAATAAACTGACTAAATAAAATGCCGATATCGTTTATATATATATATATTACGCTATATTCTTATATTTCTTCCGCAATTCAAGAATCTCACTACACAATTTTAAAATATCACCGTAAAAAAACCACCATATTTTAAAAAATAATAATAAATAAATGGCTACTTTATGTAATAAATTATATACACGAAAACTATATTTAACTGATCAAAAATATATATATATATTACCTCAATTTTTGACTCTTTTCTCCGTTGGGTTTCCTTATTTGTGGATTAATACTTTTAAAATTATTTTTATTGGCCTTATTTAATTCATTAAATTCTTCTAAATAATCGTTAAATCCAAATACAGGCATAGGCGGCATATTTTTTGATGTACTAGTAATTGAACTGCCGCAGTATCCATTATTAACTTGTTCTGGAGTTAATTTCTCTTCTAGTCTATTCCGATTCTAGAAAAAAATAACAAAATAAATAATAAAAAAAAATGAAATAAAAATACGTTCTTAAAAATTACCACGGGAATAAAACTTAGTTTCATAATTGGTTTACACGCCATTTATGTCATTACTACTCTTTTGTTATGATTTACTTTAATGATATGCAAATGGAGAATGATAATAACTTCCTCTGTGTACATAAGCTGTCCTCCAGTGAACTCTAACATGACAATGACCCACTAAAACGGTTTTACGTTCTCTAAGATTACTCATTGATGTTTACATTTATGTGGAATTATGTCAGCTGACTCTGGAGGGGAGATAATAAATGACGTATAATCTGATAAAGGGTGCTAGCGCTTCGGGAACTTTTTATTTACAAATAATAGCCTATTATTCGGCATTGAAAATTATTTTTAATGTGAATATTCGTATTAAAAAAATGGGAATTTTTTTCTGCTATTAATCTAGTTACGCGGATTCCTTTTTGGAAGGGAACAAGAATTTAGAAGGTATTTAAAACTGTGGATCGCCGTATAGGTTGAGAAGATAGAGGAGACATCTCATTTGACCTTTCATTGTCAACTACACTGCACAACAAACAAAGAAAGCAATCGTAAAATCATCCAAAATCATCAATTTTCTGTTCGATATGAGCGTTTTCGTGAGATTTGTAACGAGAAATTGGGCTTTAAAATTCGGTGAAATTATCTTAACGTTGATATCAATATATTTTTATCGATATATACGACAGATTGAAAAATCGACCAGTTGCACCCCCCTCGTCGGACGGAATGAACCAGGTCCGTAGTCATGGAAACACCGTTGGGTGTTACGGCCATGAGGCTCGGTAAGGGTGCGGTCGAAATCCCGGAGGGTGGCTTTTCTGTAAGACTTGTCTGGAGCCAGTAGTCTGTGACGGTTAGCAGGGAGCACTCTTTGGGGAGAAAAAGTTCACTTAGGCACTGCAGAAGAAGTCTCGTTATTACGTCGATAGCGAAAATATTTTCTTACAGAAACACCGACTTTATTATTTATATTAAAATATCAAATCTGGCAAACATTAGGTTTCGATTATCTAATGTAAACAACCAAGGAAAAGAGGGGAAAAAAGAAAGAAGGAACTAGTATATAATCATGAGAAACGTGCGCAGTATTTTGCCCCACGGGTAGAACTAACCTCGCTATCAGATTACTTCTACAGTAGGGACGGTCACATCCTCGAGCTAAAAACCCCTCCCCCTTCTTGTCCACCTACACTAAAATACAAACTTGTTTCTTCGACCAAAATAAAATTTATCTAAAAAACCGATCAAATTGTTTCGTGTTAAAGCCAACAATTCGTTAAAGGGATAAATTTTCCTTGTAGCGCGTAGTCTAGAAGCTAAAGTTTTTCTGCCTGAATGAAGAGGTAATAAATTGTAAGAAGGCGATAAGAGGCAATGCTTTTCAAGTTATTATTTGTTTATATTCATCCTTCATCACGACAAGTTAACAAGAAACGATAAGAAACCGCCGAGTTATAAGAATGAAAAATTGTACATTATGACAATGACCCTGAATAAATGCTTTTCCTGGTTTCTCCATCCTTATCAATTTTACATCTCATTATTACAGATGATGGCGGCAGATAACAGAGATTTATTATTTTTATTCACGTAAAATCGCGGATAATAATACTATTTTAAATAATTTAAATAATAAAATTTCCTTTCGCGTATACAAATAGTTTTTAAAAAATTCGCCGATATTTCTCGTAATATTTTACGATTCACCTTCACATAGGGTCGAACAATGTAAATGAGATTGTCAAGAAAGAAAGGCCAGTCTGTAGTTCGATCGATTAAAGCTGGACTAGGGCACTTTATTTAATTGTCTACCATTTCCATTGCCAAACTAGCTCTTACTTTAGCCACCTTGTCCTCTCTTGAAAATTTGTCTACTGCTTAGTTGTTATTTATGACGATGTCACGTATAAGTGATGTTCTGACATGAGCCGTAATCCATATTTGATATGTCACGACTGCTACCTATTATGATGTGACATATTTCTATTTACTTGAAATTTTTATTGTCCTTTAAATCATTTATATAAAAAGTCCAAATGAATTTTTAACGATTATACGAGACAAAAATGTTGTTGATGTATCCGAAATCGAATTATTGATCTAAATCTATTTAAAGTCGGAGCATTGAAAGCTTTTACAGGCGGATAACATTTAAAATATAATAAATTACTTTAGTTTTCAATTAAATTTAATTAACAGTTGCATTAATAAATGATAAGAAGCGCGTTATTTAATAATAAAACTTTAAAAAATGATTTATTATTATAAAAGATTATTTACTTTAAAAAAAAATGGGTAAAAATAATTTAATCTGATTTAATTACAGTATAAACATATATATTAAGAGAAGCTTAAACTAATTAAAATAAGAGATAAAGCATAAATATAAAGACACGGTTCGATCAACACACAACACAAAGAAAACGTAAACAAAATGACGCCATAGTCAACACATTGGATTATTATTATTATCAATAAAGGAGAGAGTTTATTAAAATTGACTACGATAACAATTTGTATTTACTATAAGAGGCAAGGTTAACGTAAATATGAAATCATAAGGGAGCATTGTTAAACACGAGTCACGAGGTAGATATTAATATTTGCCGACATAATCCCATTCATAAACCTGTCTTTGAATCATTCAGTGCTACGACGTAAGAGAACACGTGACAAATGACGTATGGTAGGAGTAGGAATAAACCAATTAAATTTTCATTTTTGAACATTCATAAATCAATAATGATAATCAGCTTTAGCATGTGTGTGTCAGATGAGTAGGGCGATGTCGGGACGTCGGAGGAGTTTGGCAGCGCGTTACGAGTAATTAAAACGTTAGGAATTAAAAGATATATCGGTATTTTACGTCTTTAAGTTGCCATTTTGTCGACAAAGGAAAGTGTATGCGAGGGAGAAGGGGAGGAAACTAAAAATCCATAGATCAACATGTGGAGTATGTCGTGTTCTTTATCCTGATTGGTTGTGCATAGTACGTCGAATATAAAATTGTCAAACTGAACGTTAGAGCGAGATTGCAGTTGTGGAGACGGTTGAAGTCGGTAATATTTTGTCAGTTGTGTGTGGAACGATACCAACCAAAATGGACTACTTACCACAGGCGAACTGATACGGCAACCAGTACAGTCACAAACTGGTGGATGTACGGCAAGGATTCCTTTCGATAATAACAACTTCATACTTTTACCATAATGACGAATACTCCTTTTCCAATCTTTTGCTGTTTCTCTTCCGCTAACGTACTGAAATTCGTTGGGGGTTAACCACATATCTCTATACAGAATACAAGGCCCTTTAGAACCCTGACACAATTTCGACAGATATAACAAACCGTTGTTACCACCGCATTCGACTTCCAATACCACGTTACCATCGTGATATAAAGGCCGTATATAATCACTATATGGATTGATATTAGGATGACCTGCAGTAACAGGACTCAAGACGTTATTAGACGAACTCTGTCGGTTTCTCATCGTTGTGGACAACAGGAGTGCACCGATGCCAGGCGACTGTCTCCAACCCCTGACGTGACGTCATTGACCCACTAGGGGATCCAGGGGTAGGGAAACGGTTAATGAGACGATGTCACGTGACCGACACGGGGAGCGAGGAGGCAGGACATCCGTATCCGTTGCTGTCGGCAGATAAACGGGTCACGTGACAGGAAGTTCGCCCACCCTACATTTGTAACCCAATGGATTCGAGTGCACCTTGGAAATTTTCTCTTTCTCTCCCATTTTATTTTATCTCGACTTGGCCGAAATGGCGTCCAATTGATTTCGTTAATGATAATTACAATTTTAATCACTTTCGATTTCTGCCCCTTCTAAAATACTCTTTTAATTATCGGCGCGTGACGACATTCTATCGATTCGTTTTAATTAATTAACACATGGCCGTAATAAAATTATTCAAAATAATTATCATTTCATTTTTAAAATATCCGTAATAAAAATTTCATTTTTTTGTTTTTTTTTTATTAAACGAAAATTTTAATAATTTCAAATAAATTATTTTTTAATTTCCGCAAAAATATCATTNTGTTTATGGAACAAAATTAATTATTAACGAATTAAAATATATAATACAGTTTTTTTAACGCTGTATTTGCTCTTTTTATATTCTAGGGCATGAAAAAGATAAGTGATCCAGACTTCTGTCGACTTTCGAGGAAGGCCTGGACCTGGCTAAATGGCTATATTGATGTTATCGGGCATAGATAAAAGGATACAGCATAGATTTCAACAGGTTTTATCTAAATTATTTTGATATATTAAAGAAAAATCTAGCATAAATAAAGGAGAGTAAGAGTATGGAAAAGACTATAAACCATTATATTATAAATTATTTTAAAACGTTTATCTATTTTATAGACAAACGTCGTGAAATATTCCGTAATAAAATTATTCAAAATAATTATCATTTCATTTTTAAAATATCCGTAATAAAAATTTCATTTTTTTTTTTGTTTTTTTTTTATTAAACGAAAATTTTAATAATTTCAAATAAATTATTTTCTAATTTCCGCAAAAATATCATTTTCTTTTTAATATCGGAACGTGGCGTGACAGACACTTAAGAATTATGTTAAAGTTGAAAGGGAAGATTGATTCAATAAAGATGGCAGTTATGAGTAGTTGAGAGAAAATAAAAATCATAAAAAATCTCCGTCTGAGTGGAATGACAACATAAAGCAGTTTTAAAGCTATCTGTTGATATCTCGGTCACATTTGGATGTGTTCCAACAGTTCACCGCCACGCAAATTATTCAAACATAACCTCAGAAAGTGGCTTATGGAGAATGTAAAACAACTACGTCACATATCGCTGACTTTAAATCGATTCGAAAGAAAAATGGTTCGGGGAAAACAGTTTATTTTTCTTTTCCCAACAGTACTTAATGCAAAATGATGATAATGGCTTACGGGGCGTTTATAAATGCATATTTATTAAACAATATTATTCATTTTTATTATTTAAAATAATCAGGTGGCGCTATTAAAAAAACCCCGTCGGTAATTAGATACCATAACTCCCCCTATCGCAATTTAATTATTTTAATTTATTTAATTATAAAAACTTTTTTTTAAAACTTAATTTAAATAAGAAGTTTTAAGTCGTAGCGAATATTAATGACGATTATTTTCGTATAGGCGAATAAAATTAAAAATGTGTTATTTTTAATCGATTTTAAATCGAGAAACGTAGTAGACGCTATACTAATAGAACAAAATGTCTACCGGAACGTAAATGCGATTCTGGTCGGCATCACTGCCATCTAGTAGACATCGCTCGAATATGGTGTATTTTTTTTTTTTTTTTTTAAGTTTGCTCACCTAATATATATGGCAGCGAACATAAAACATATTTTCGGACGTGTAGAAAGTTTTAAGATATGTAAAAGAAGTAAAAGCGACTGTTTGGAATGAAAATGGCTTTTGTTGTCGACTTCGACCTTCTTTGTGCAGTTCTGAAAACAAAGAAAGGTCGACGACCTTTCAATCAACTATAGGTGATTGACGGAACATCCAGCGGTGAGAAAAAGTCCCGCTGATGATGGTTCTTCGTGTGATATTAATTTAGATCCGGAAAGCAACCTCATTTTCCGATTTTTCATTTTCAAACGATTCCTCCTTTTTTTTTATTTTTCGCATTTTAGTGATAATTTATACAAAAAACACATATGAATAAAAATCTATTTACAGATTATTGTTATTCTAAATATAGTAAACTCGATCAGTATTGCATTGCATGCACTTTTAGTTTGGAACAATTCTATTTAAATGCTTTATGAATATAAAGATTTTTTAATAATTTTTTATATAGGATGCTGTAATTCTATTGACATAATGTCTGGAGAAGTGTATAACGGAAATGTTATTTTTTATATGTGATTATCTTTCAAAAAACAGACTATTTTTCTATTTTCTCACAATAAATTATGTCTACATTCTCTATGTTTACTGCTTGATTAATTATTTTTGCAAATCAATTTATGTAAGGAAACATTTTTTGTAACATTATCTATGTAAAAATACATATTTTTATACAGTCTATAGATAATTTATTGAAATATTTTTCTTATAGAACGTGTTTAGAGCATTCAGAAAGATTAAATAGTGCCGAAAGTCAATAAATTAACTTTATATTTTAATATTTTCTCAGTAAAAGAAATTAGTAAATTAAAAGCACATTTTTGAATATGAAATTCATTAAGCGTATCGAATATATTCGTTAGTTTACGTTCATAAAGTACAAAAATGTATGTTTCGAATTGTCAGTACGTTCATTTCACCGAAATAATTAAGTCGAAGGTTTATTATTACAAACAGAGCCAGATAGAGAGAGTGCCAGCAGGTTCGTGTGACTTAAGCCTAGATACAGAGGCCCCAAAATTTAATTTTTTTATATAAAAAACATAAGAAAGTAATGTAAATTCTTTTGATAAATAGTAAAAATATCTGCTTTTATTCATATATATTGTAGCATACATATGCGCCTGACAAGTTAGAGTCCAGGGTATTGTGTTGCTTCCATTGTAGAATTTATTACATGAAATATGAATTTCATATGATTAATTTGATACGTGGCATCTATTCGAAAACTATTTTACATCTGCAGATTCTATTTTCACGCGAAAGTTTTCACAGAATCTCGCATCAGTGGAACACATCCTCTTTGATATAACAAAGGGAGGAGTACTGATAATCCCTATATTATCTTCCTAAAAAAAGAAGCTCCGAAGAGCTTCCATAGGTTGAAAAGAAGATCAATCAATTTTGAATTGATTTACGTTGTAGAGAGGCCTCTAGTTCTTAAATATTTATTTAGAATGCATACAGAAACAATGAAATGTGAAAATGTTACTTTGGAACTGAAAAGAAAGAGTTTTCATATCAGTGGCGCATCATCCTACGGGCAAAAAGAGCAATTGCTTCATTAACAGGGGACCCCAAATCAATCTTTTGTAAGAAAATCTTTCTCCAAAAAATTCTCCCGAAGAAAAATGTCCAAAATCAACACTGTGCTTAGGCCCCTAATTCAAATTTGCCTTTGCCTCATAAAGGTATAAAGCGNAAAAAAGTTCTTTGTATTAATTTTAAAATGTTTATATCCATAAAAAAAGAAATAATTTAATTATTTAAAAGAGAAAGAAAATATAAAGATTTTCCATTAATGGATTTTATTTCATTATAACGTTAAATAATAAAATTTAAATGAAAATTAGTTAACAAATCGGAAGCGAAGGAGAGCGTCATAAATTGATAGAGGAGTAACCTGTTGATGCTGTTGTTGTCAATAGATAATTCTTCTATCCCTTGATAATAACTCTCTTGTGAGTCAAGTTGTATTCAGTGACAATGCTAATCGTAGGAAACAGGAATTCTTATCAACCATTTGATCACATCAGTATTGCTATTCTAGAAACATGGCCATAAACAGACGTTAGTTCATCGATCATATGCTACAACATCAGATAAAAATTTCTGCTTATTGTTAAAGGATCTTAACCGTTTTACCGGTAACCCCTTTAATATTTCACAAACTTTATGATAATAATATCTTTTCTGTCCTTCATTTACGGTTACTTCATTAAAATTATACCGAATTTTCGTGACGTCTTTTAAAAAGTTCCGTAAGAATATTACCGTAGTAATTTGTGTTTGCTATGTTAATAATTATCACGATATTAACTAATTTACATCGAATTTTATGATTATTACGGTCTTCAATTAAACGACATCAGCTGTGTGTGACGTATTAATAATAACTATGACGCAATAGTCGTCGTTTTCCGGTTTGTGTAACCACGTGGTTTCGGTAATGATAAATGGATACGCTTAATGGAGAGAATGAAAGTCTATACAAGCTACTAATTATAGTAATTGTCGAGATGTTTATCAATTAAATATGTGAGAAGGTGAAGTTTAAAGCGTTATATACATATTTATTATTATGAATTCGATAACTTAATTCTATTTAAACATTACTCGTTTAAATTTAAATGTAGAAAGTAATTAAGTTAAATAATCATTAACGCTTAATTACTTTTATTTTAAATTGGTTATTTCAAATCGTAAAATTTATAATTGCGGTTTAATGCCGTTTTATCGTTAATTGCGTTAATTAAATTATTATGTGATTTTAATTTTATGTTAATTGGATTGTTAAAATATCCTGTGATAATCTTCTTAATGTGTGATAATTTATTATTATAGATTACGTATAAATTATAATGCAGAAATTCTTTAAATTGTCAGCCGTAACTCTCTTAAACGAGTAGTTAAATTGTTATATAAAATATTAAATTATCGTAATTCTGATTTGAGTGATAAATACTGAGTTATTCATTTAATAATCTAAATTTTATCGAATTTAATTTAAATTATGCTTGATGTAATATTAATTGCATTAATCGTGGGTTCATCGTCTTTATAATAATAATAATAATAATAAAATACAGTCGAAATTCTAATAATTATTACTTCTAAACGGCGGCCATTTTTTTCGGTAACTTTTTTAAAGATAAATGCACGCAAATAACCTCCA